CCTCTGTATGCTCTAGATGCTTCAAAAGATTAATATTTGGCTTGAGCAGCTCAAAGCTGCAAAAACCGTCGTCATCTGCTTCAATTAAGTTGAATGAATACGCCGGAATTTAAGCATCTAGCCTTATAACTTTCCGAGTGAATACTCAAGAAGTATAAACAATAGATTTGTGAAAAAACTCGGGATGCGAACTCATGACATATAGGGCATACAGGGCTGTGGTACAACCGACATTCTCGCCACCCGAGTTAAAAGGCTCTGACTGAAGGCATTTCCAAATTTGAGCTAACTTACTTACCCAACCTACTGTCAAAGCTAGCATCTACTGCTTGGAATCCGACTAAATGAACGTCCACATACAGTCAGAGTTTCTTAGCTCAGGTGGTTGGCACTTGAGTTGTATCGTCCTTCCTGGCGTGGAGTTCAGATTCTGTCTAGGTTTCACTATTAGAGGCGGGCATTTATACCTGTCTCGGTCTGTCTGACCGTGTCTGGTCTGACTTCCTGTCCACCTAAAGATCCCACGATTAACCTGCACGTTTCTGCAGGCACTAGACGGAAGACTTCTACGCCACCTCAGCCATTTTGCCCCATCTGTTCACCAATCGATCGATAAATTAATATTTTTGACGGAACGAGAGGGCGTGAGCGTGCGAAGCGGGGGAATCCATCTTTGTGACGAATCAGTGCGCATCCCTCACTGGTATCCATTTGATGCGCTTGAACCTATTAGGAGTTGTGGCTCCCTAGTACATGTGGAGTTAGGAATTGGGTCGTGTGTAGCGTCCGGAAACCTTGTGGATGTTACACACGACAGAGTAATCTTCAGAGTACGTTAACGTTGAATTAGGTTTTTGAAGCACTCCGCAAACACGCACGCATAGACGGTAAGAGACACTTTGAATATCATGAAGCATATGCTGAAGGAAACATCAAACATCAAACAGAGGATCAAAGGTGTGGAAGACTGGAATGGTCATTTCTGGTTTATTATACGTCATCAGCCAGCCATATCCAACCCAAGGGGGGGCAACTTCTGGGGCTTGAACCCGCGATCTGTTGATGGGAAGTCAAACGCGCTACCTACTACGCTAAAGGCTTGTTGCCTTGCCGGTTTCGATCATAAATATACATAAGAATAGGCAGGCCCTCACCAATCGGTTACGGAACTCACTCGTCCCGTTGTGCCTTGGAGCTCGCTTTCGCGCCCAACCCGCAGCCGCGCAAGGGCTAGCATATGCAGGGTGATAACACGTTACTGGAAAAGACTAGGAAGACTGAAATGACCGTTTCTGGCTTATTAGACGTCATCAGCCAGCCATACCTGAACCCAGGTGGTGCATCACCCCAAGCTTGGACCCGCGACCTGTTGATTAAAACACCAACGCTCTACCCATAGACACATACGAGTTCGTTGTTTTTGCGGGTTTAGATAGGGAATATTGGCATTGGCGCATGAAGGCTCACCGATCGGCTACAGGACGAGATGTGAAACCGTCAGAAACGGGCAGAAATAACAGTACACGGAGCATGGTGTCAAAGATATTGTTACCCGTCTGGAGTGGAAGGTGGTTTCATATATGTGGACTAGAGTACCCGTGGGGAACGCATCGTCATCAGCGACTGATCATTTTCGCTAGCATGCTATTACACCATTCCCGTCCTGGATCCGCGCCGAAAGTGTTCACACCATTAAAGCAATCCAGTTCATTTAGTGAGGTGTTACAACAGACCTATTTGCCTTTTTTAAACTTCGTTACCGACTGTGCTCATTCACTTTTCCTCTCGTCTTGACTTTGTCTTGTCGTCGGAACGCGGAGGATGCGGGGAGGGATAGGGGGCGACTAGTGCAGAGCAGAAGTCTGCCTTCTCCGTCTGGTGTGAGGTAGTGATCGTTTCGTCGTTCTCGACGGTCGACAAAATACCTCAACGCTGACGCAAGAGTCAATACCAAATGGTGAACTTCGGCCCAGCCAGGGTTTTATAAGTAATCTGCTGGACGCCTTTGTTTTCACCAACTGCGCAGTGCGCGTGTTTGCGTATTTATTATTTTTTTTGGATCCGGTTCATGGTCATGCTTATGATTGGTTGCGTGAAGGTGAAGTAGACCCAAAACGGGATTGTCTCTGTCTACTCCTATTTTTTATCGCTACCCTCCCAAGAAAGAGAGAGACAGAGAGTTCGCTCATCATCACAGGTGGCACTTCCTTTTCAGGATGGTTTTTCGGACTTACTGTTGGTTTTCGAAAATGCATTCATTTCAGTAAAAGAGGAAAAACTATCTGGGGTAGCAGTTTGCCACTTACATCCGAAGCCTTAACGCATTCTTTTTTCTCACCCCTTAGGGTTCACTTCTATAAGTATATCCTATTTTCTGAAAGCGATACTTTTCGATCTTTCGGAGGATGAGTACGGATGACTTGTGTAGCCCCCGAAACAGGGCCTGAGACCTGGAACCGCTCACAGTACATTCTGATTGGCGCCCCATTCCAGAAAACTTGGTTTTAAGGTTTAGCGTTAAGTGTAGTGTAAGGTTTAAGGTTCGGGTCAAGACCAGTGTTGAAACTGGGATCGGGAGTATGCTAAGGATTAATATTTGGGTTAGTGTTAACTGCAAGTTCATCAGTGCCTCGCCACCTGCCCTTATTTGTCTCTGCAGGTCAGGTATTTATTCGAACAAAAGTAGGCACACACCGGTCTATTGGCTCCCCAAAGCAAAAAAGTTTCATATGGGTGGTGAAGGTCACAAACAGGCAACCAAATTATAACGGCTTCTGTTTTTTTTGACTTTCCTATGCTCGGTAGCTTTACATGAGACGGCCAAGGAAATACTTGGGATTACTGTCAGTTGAAGGTCCCTACTCAGTGCATTCAACAACAAGCTGTTGTCTATTTCCCATCCAGGGCCAAGGTTAGCCTTCATTATATCGGCGTGGTTGGACTGAGTAGTTCAGGAGCTGGTGGACATGGAAGATGGATTTTGGGTTGCCTAACTGTCCATTCTTCCTTCTAACGAATTTAGGTGCCAAACTCACGATCTTCGTGAAGGTTATTCAGTTCCTCCACAAAGCAAGGCGAACCAACACTGATAATGTTTCCTAAATTTTTTTTTCAGGGCCAGTAATTGAAGTCCGTTACTTTAATGGTTCTTTTGTGCTTTTTCGTGGATCTGGTTGGAAATCTGATCCGCCATCGTCAACGAGGAAACATTAGCTTCTGGAAATCCATGAGTGAAATGACTAGGGAAAATTCGGTCTGGCTTTTGATGTTACCGTCCTCATAATTACTCTTTTTCGTTCGAAGCCAGTTGATGTACGCTACAAATGAGCAATCACATGAATAAAATACATGAGTGAATACTGGCGTCTAAGGTGATTGATTGGGTAATGAGGAAGGCTGACCAAACGCACATACCTGTCTGTGGTTTCAGGCTCGTACAACAGTTTCATGCGAATACTAGGAAGTGCGTTACAATCAATCGATTGCTGATGCTGGTGTACACAGAGGAGGCTCGATGCATCGATTTGCGGAACTCTCATTAGCACTCCGGACTTCATTAAGCATCAACTTTCCAATCGCGGTGTTTATGACCGACTGGCAGACCCGTGGTTCCTCTCCCCACATCCCCCTCGCGGGAGGAAAACTTTGTAGCTGGTAGTAAGCTACCCTGTAATGTAGCATGTTTGAACTTCCAAAATCTACTAAAATAGGGCAAAATAGGGTCCGTGCGTGGATCGAAAAATGAACAGTTGCATTCTTCTTAAATTTCGAC